GCTCTCACTTCTTTGCTACTCTGATTTTTTGAAGATTTACATCTCTTTATGGTGAAGACTCAAGTTTATCTCCAGCTTAGATAACTCATATATGCTGCCTACAATGTTCAAAGTGGAACTTTTCTACCTTTCATCCCACTTAAGTTTCCCCATTTTATTAATTATACCACAAACATAGACAGGAATCATCTTTCTGTTTCCTCACCTTCCAGACCCAATTCCCGAGGTCCACCAATTCAGTTACAAAATATCATCTCAAATCCACCCTTTTTCTCATTATTAGCTTATCACTTCCCAGGCCACTTCAACTCTTTAGTTTGTCTCTCTGGCTCTATTCTGGCTTCCCTATAATACATTCTCCTAGTTGTATGTAATTAAAGTAATCAAGATGTCATTCCTACTGTACTTAAAATTCAACCTCCTTATCATGCTAGCTCTTCCTCCCTCTGAATCAAAAGGACAGGTCCTTCTCTTCCTTGCCTACTATGTTACAGATGTGCAAATCTTGTTTTTTTTTTTTTTTTAATATTTTTAAGTTTGTCAATGGTCATTTATTTTTATGTGGTGCTAAGAATCAAACCCAGTGCCTCATACATGCTAGGCAAGCACTCTACCAATAAGTCACAACCCTAGCCCACGAGCACATCTTTTTCCAATACCTTAATTCCTCAAACCAATTTTCTACTTCAGGACCTTCATACATTATTCCTCTGGAATGCATTTTCTCTCTACAGTGCACAGCTAACTCCTTCTCTTTCTATAACCCTGGGGAGACCTTCCTTGACTTCTGTACCTAAAGTAGATTACTCTCGTGTTTTTATCTTGACCCTATATTTGTTTCTTTAACAAAAATAAAACTTTATTTCTTTAATGTTGTCCTTATAATGCATGCTCTATGAGAACAGGAACCTTTGTGCCTCATCCACTAGTCTATTCTCAAGGCCTTGTACAAACCAGGTACTCAGTAAATATAGAAATCTTTAGAAATGGGCTCAGTGTAGGAAATGTAGACTCTGTGGCAGTCTAGAAGAGGTCAATGTGATTGACTGAAAGGTTACCTACCATAAGTACTTACATAGACTCATCCAGTGTTTTACCAAGTAAATTGATAAAGATTAGGAAAGACAAAGTGTTAACAAAAGCACACAGAAGTTCCCAAAGTAGGCTGGGGAGGTTGACAATAATCAAATTTTGGCTTAGATTAGAGTATGGTGGAACTGTTCCAATAAGAGAGAACGGCAGCATCAAAATCCAAAGCACAGGGCTCTGAAGGGTGAGGGAATCCTTGGGTTTAAGGCTTGACAGATATGTAGGGTGAATTGAGAGGCAAGTTGGGTAGCATAGTTATTAGACACAAGTTGAAGAGGTAGATATGATGGCTCTTAGATGTGATATGATTAATATTTCAAGTTTTCCAAAAAAGCCACTTCCACCCAACATAGAATTTTCCTTCTCCTTACCCTTATTTTTATTCCAACAGTGTGTCTTCTATGTGACCCTGGGCTATACTTACACACCTATTGGTCATCCCAGTTTTATCCTGTAAAACAATCAAAATATCTTGGCTTACTCAGGTCATGACTAAATATTTTATTATTGTCCTGCAAATCAAGAAGTAAATTGGTATCTATCCTATAAATACTATAAAGATGGAACTTGATACCAACTAAACTCTTATGCAAAACCAGAATTCTCACAATTCCCTCAACTTCCCCACTTTTACTCAACCTACCAACCAAAGAATGCAATTCTTATCACTTACAAATCTAGTAAGAAGCCAAGTTCCCTTTCCAATCTTCTTTCCTCCTTTTATAAACCAACTAGTCTACTGGGTCATGTTCTACTGCACCTACCACCCTTCCCTAACCACCCCAACCAGGCAGGAATGAATATTCCTTTTAATTCTTATGATCAAAATCCTTGTCTAGGGCCCTGATTTTCTCAGTTTCCTCACTTTCATTGTTGGTTCAATTAAGAAAGGTGTGTGTGGGTCATTCTTGAGGATCATTTGGCTGTAAGGAAGAGAAACCAGTCGAATTAGTTTAAATAAAAGAGGGAATTTATTAGGTGAATACACAGGTTCTTGTAGGGATTCCAACAGCTGTATCCCACACCTGAAGGATAAAGCATGCTATAACCACAAACTTCTAATTCTGGATTCTGCACAATCATGAAGAGAATTTCCTAGAGGATAGTCCTCCTTGTATCCTGAATAAGGGACTAGAATGTGGATTCATTTCTGCTTGCTTTTTGATCCTTATAGTCCTTTATGCTGGCCTCAAACTTGTCAAGCACATGTTGGCAGACATTCATGAGCTCATTCAGACCTCGTTGAAATGGCTCTACAGCTGGAAGAGCACCTCGAGTCTGAATGCGCAAATTAATTTTGCTCTCAGAAGGATGGGTCGTAGTGTAACCACAAAACTCCACTTCCGGATTCTTCATGATCATATAACGCAGAGAATTTCCTAGGGTATGGTCTTCCTCGTGCAATACAAAAGTCACACAGTGTCTATCTGTTCCAGCAGCCTGGACCATTTCCAAGGCTGTCTTCCTCTCGCCTTCAGCCATTGAGGTCTTCAATCCAGATATTTTTCTACACACATATTTTTTATAAAAATGAGATCATTCCGAATACTGTTTTGCGACTAGCGTTTTTCCATACTATACTGCAATTGCAACACATTAAACTACTACAATTACATAGAACTTTCTCATTTTCCTGCTTCCACTTCTATCCGTAAATATTTAACTTATTGCCTCCAGTTTCTCTCTACTCCATCTGATCATACACACTGATCACAACAAGGAGAGTTTTCTCAGAAAAACACAAAAACTTAAAGCTTTGCCAAAAAAAAAAAAAAGAAGAAGAAGAAGAAACAGAAAAAGGTTTTGGTAGCCACGAGAGGAATAGGATTAGAATAGGGTGCAGAAGAAGAGGAAGAAGAAACAGAAAAAGGTTTTGGTAGCTAGGAGAGGTATAGGATTAGAATAGGGTGGGCCCAGCAGAAGATGAAAAGGAATTGAAAAGCTAGAAAAACAGACTGCTTTAGTATAAAAATAAAAACGGCAGATTATCAATGTGCAAGCTCCACTATGGCTTCCATTAGCAAGAGGTTAAGGAAACTAGGAAGTGGAAGGTGTAATATAGATCTAGCAGTAGAGAGAAAAAGAACTCAGCATTTAGGGAGTCTTTATAAGCAGTCTGCACAGAAAGGAACGTGAGCGGTAGTTACGGGGACTCAGGCCTGACTCAACACCGCGGCTCGATCACTCGGGAACCGCGGCCTGGTGGCTGACTTTACACCAATAGGGGAGGGCGGTTTGGGACGTAACTTTGGTCTCCCAATGGGGCGTCCCCCCGATAGCTACTACACGGGACGTTTTTACGTAAATATATCCACATCTCTTCCCCCTCTTCCCAATCGGACCCCGCTCTGCTCTCTTTTCCTCTTTTCAGCGCCCGGAAATATTGTGTCGCCAGGCCTGGCCGCGATGGCTGGGCCCGGTCCGGGCCGCATGCCCCTCAGCCACCCGCTTCCCTCGCCGAGCGAGGCCCGCCCGCCCCGCTCCGCCCGCCTCCTCGGCCGTTACCTCTCCAGCTCCTGGTCCTCTTCCATCGCTGGGGCGGTTTCCGGGATCCTCAGGTGGTGCTGGCGGAACGGAGGCTCTGCCCCATATCGCTAAACGTGAGGCGAAGCAGGAAGGAAGAAAGGACGGACGGAAGGAGCCCAGGACGCAAGGAGTGGGGAGGAGCCGCAGCGGCGCGCCGGCACCCAGCCACTGGGCGTGGCGTAGAGGCTCCGCCCCCAGGGCCCCGCCTTCGGAAGGAGGAAGGCGCGCGGCAGAGTCGCTCACCTGGCGCTCTCGCTGTTAGGGCACCCGCTCGGGGTCGGGCACCGGCCTCACCCCGAGGCCCAAACAGGCCTATGGGAATCTGAGCTCTGCCTTTGGAACCTTACCCACGTGGTGGCAAAGGGGGCGGGTCTCACCTACCGTCCCAAATCACCTTCCTTCTTAGGGCGGCAGTCGGGCCTCTCTCTGAGTTGCTACTAGACTCGTGAGGGACGGTGTAGCTTCCAGACTAGCCCTTCCCGGACCCCAGTCTTCACGGGCCTTGCGTGGGACTGCAGGCTTAGACTATAGTTAATCCGCCTAGAAAAAGGAGGGGGCTAATTTGCGTAGAGATGAATTTAATAACAATACTACGGTGTAGGACGGTATTTATCTCACCGGGTTTCTTTACAGCTGCACATTTCAACTAGATCAAAGAACAAGCGTTTGCCTTTTTTTCTTGAGGACGAGTGAGGAAACTCCTTGTCAACCTTCTCCCCTAGGATCCACTCTTCCTTTGGAGTACGTCCTTCCCCGCTACTACCTTCCCTTTTCTTTCATCCTTTGGGCTGTTTAAACCTCCTCACTGGCGGAACCTCCCGCTCACCTTTGTTCCCAGGTGCCCCAGCCCCCGCCTTTCACCACCAGACATACTCTCCACCCTTCTTACTTCATATCTCCTCTCTCTGTTCCTTCAGGTGCTCTTCCTCGCAGATCAGTCCTTCTCACTCCCCTGCACCCTCCAGACCCCAGCCAGTCCCCCAGCTGTCCTTTCGCCCAACACACCTACGTTTCTGCTTTCTTGCACCACTTGTTTTCCACCCCCGCCCCACACCCTGCTCGAGTAGCCCTATTCGTTCCCTCCCTCCCCAGCTGTTCGACTCTTCTAGCCGCGGTCGGGGGTGCGCGCAGATATTTCTCCAGCGTCTTCTGCAGGGGAATCAGGCGAGCGGCGGGGACAGCCCAGAGCGGGTGGGGGAGGGCGGGCGACGAGAGGCGGAGTGGGTTCACTCTAACCTGGGAGTGACGGCCCGTTCTAACCCGCCCCCTGAGCTCTGGGATAGGTGGAACTACTCTCTGGCCCGCCCACTCCCGCCCCGCGCCACGACCGATTGGCCCAGGTGCGTGTCGGGTTGGGCTGCTCGGCCCTGGCGCTTGCCCCCGGGAAGGCAGCAGGGGCGGTTGAGAAGTGAAGTCTTGGCCAGAGTTTTCTTCTTGCCAGGAAATCCGCGGCGGCAGCGGCGGCGGCGAGTCCCGGCAGAGAGGAGCCCAGCTGGCTCCTGGCTCTCCCTCAGCGGGCCGCGGAGAGCGGGAGCTGGCGCTGGGCTACGGCGCTGGAAGCCGGTGTAAGCCCCAGGCAGCCGCGCTTTCCCAGTGAGTAACTTTGCCCTGGCTGCCTCGCTCCGCGCCCTCTCGCCGGCTCCGGGCTGCCGCCTCAGGTGCGGGCGTCGGCGGGGTGTGGGGCGGCGCCGCGCCCCGGGAGGCGGCCGGAGCGGCGCCGCGGCCCGCCCCGGAGCCGCCGACCTCCGCCGCTTCCCTCGCTAACTCGGGCTGCGGGGACAGCGTGGAGCCGGGAGCGGGAGCGGGGCTGGCAGAGATGGTGCCCTGTGCCTGGTATCGCCGCGGGGTAGGCGCGTGGTAGGCGGGCGGCCCCCAGCTGTTAGCATTTGGTGGCTGCGGCCACCGTGGTGCAGATCTTTGCGTCGTTTGCTTTTTAAGGAAGGGTAGAGGAGTGGATGAGTTTTAAAAATTTTGTGTGTGTGTGCATTGTCGAGAATGAGTGGCATTAGCCACCCTTCCGTTGGATTTTGTTCTTGTGTGAGGGTATGGGGAGAGATCATTCTCTCGCCCCAGCCTGTTGCCTGTGAGTTGTCACCTTTCCCTTTAGGCTGGAGAGAATGGAAGACAGATTTGACATCTTCCAGGGGGTAATTTGAAAATACGGATCTTGATTTGGAAGCAGTTGCATACAAAGCATCGCTTAGGAAACACCCCCCCCACTAGCTTTTCAAAGCTTTATGCCACGTTTTAGATAAGTTTTGACTTATATAGTGTTTCTTGTAGTATTTCAGTTTACATTAAAGGTTGTGATCCAGATATTTGTATCTGGCAGATACTGAAGTACACTCGTGCATGGGCTTCATCGTATAGATTTTTCTTTTTAAAATCACAGAAATGAAAAAACGAAGGTGGGTGAAAAGCTGTGGCAGTGCAGGAGAAACATTTGTAAGCTCCGGTTTATTAATTGCCTTCACTTTAAGAATTTCCCATTCTTGTAGCAACAGTACTTACTTGGAAATTGGCCCTGTTGTCAAGACAGATTTTGATTTTTCTCTTGCATGTATTGTGACACAACACTGATGAAGTTGGATCTGAGATCAATTCTATCTACTTTGATAAATTTGATTTCCACCCTCATACCCCTCTGGAAAAAGGACTTTGGCAGGTAAAGAAAGAAGAGGGGAGGGATCTAGTATCCTGTTTGGCCTGTCAAAGCTTTGTTGAGCCAGGAATAACAAAGTTGTGCCTTTTAAGCTTGTTCAAGAACCACATGTGTGAGTTTTCCCATAGGGGTAGAATGTAGGCCAAGTTCGAACCACAGTAGAATAACATTGCTTTTAATTCAGCGTACTTGTGTGTTAACTTCTTAATTTGTGCCTTGTTCTTCTGCTCTTTTCATTAAATTTGAAATTTTCGTTGTTTATTCATTTAGCTATTCATAAAGTGCCTAATGCATGCCAGGCATTAATGGCAGAGGTCAGTTCTTACTCAGAGTTGCTCAGTCTCTTATGGAAGCTGATCCATACCTTTGTTCTACTAATTAATTTACCTGACAGTAATTTGAACAAAGTGCTGTGGCAATAAGAATCTTTTTGCCTGGAGTTTGTTAGAGAGGCCTCACATAGGCACTTTTCAAAATTGGTGTTGGACTTTGCCATATATATTCTAAACACATATATCTTTGGCATGTTGGATTATGAGATTATGAGAGCTGGAGAATACAATGTTTGTGGTTGAAGTAGGATTCAGGAGCTGGTGTGTTATTCATTTCAAAGCACTTAGCACTTTGCCTTGCCTGCACTAGGCACTCAAATATTTATTTATTAAGCTGTCCTGAGCAGAAAACTGAAAGATTTTGTGTACCATATTAAGAAATTTGGACTTTATCTGGTCAGTGATATAGAGTGCCAGTTTTAAGCAGGAGAATGTCATGACAACATTTGTATTCCAAAAAGATATCTGTAGCAGTCTGAAGGATGATGAGGGTCCAGATGGGAGGTAAAGACAAAGGAGATTGTCACAATGTAGGTGATAAGTGCTCAAAATTTTCAATTCATATTATCCAGATTTGAATCAGGCTCTGTCAGTCTCCGGTTTAACTACTTCCTTCCTTAGGTTCTTCTTCTCTTAGGGTTTGGGGAGTGAAAGTTGGGGAAAAATATGTATTACTTAATAGTACTTGGTAGGTAGTAAGGACTTAGTTCTCATTCCATGAGAAGGCATTGATAAAAAGAGATGATGTGGCATTTAGGAGACTAGACTCTGTAAGTGACTAGAAAGGATTAATGAGAAAAAGATGATTCCTAGGTTTTTTGCCTTGGGGCACAGGCATATTCTGGTTTAGCTGGCTGTGGAGTCAGAACAGAGGTCAAATTCTAATTTCATCATTTACCCTTAGAATTACTATCCCAGCTGAGTTTTGACTTCCTAACATTTAGGAAATGATCATAGTACCTGTTTAGTAGGGTTTGAGGATCAAGTGAAATTATGCATTTAATAACCTTGGCACAATACTTGGTACATTCCAACTGCTCAATAAATATTAGTTGTTCCTTTAGTGATGATGGCATTAGTGAGCTCCTGGAATGTTGGAGGCTGTGAGAAGGACGGTTAAAAACAATTGAAGGCAAGGTAAGAGAAGGTAAATAAATTCTGGCTTGGGACCCACCCAATGGGGTGCTAAACAGATGGTTGAGATGTCTGTTATACAGTTGTTGGATGGATGTATCTGAGAGGAGCTAGGAAAGAATAGAAAAGGAAAAAGAATTTCCATAAAGCCTTTGTGGGAGTGTGTGAAGTGGTGGAGCTTTTTGAAAGATTTGGGAGAAGACGGTGAGATTTTGGGAGAAGGGGTGTTGGAGTTTATAGTGTAGCAATGGCTGTAGTGTTGACATTGAACATCAGGCATCTCTAGCCTCAAAATGTGTTTTGGCTACTATCAAAGGAGAACTCTAGGCTTTTATAATCTGTTTTGCTCTGTTCTCTTATCCTTCTCTCCTTTCTGATTGCCCCCACCAAAACCCAAACAGTTTGTTATGCAGATTTATTTACTTCACCCTCTACTTTCCAGGCCAGAGCTACCTTCCTGTATCCAAACCCCATGAAGTTTCTAGAAGAATCATAGGTCTCATTTCATAGATTTTATTCTGTTTAGAAAGCAGTGTTGGCTGAGAAGTAAAACATACACATCTTGGATGGGCCTAAATTGACCCTGTTAAGAGGGCCTGAAAGTTTTACAAAAAAAATCACTTTAGCCTAACTATCGTATGTTTTTTTTCCTCATAACAAAACACAAAAATCTGCAGTCATGTAAGTGTTTTTGGTTTTTTTAAAAAAAAGGGGGCTGTTAACCTGAGATGTTATTAAGAGGGATTTTTAAAAAAGCAAATACTCATGCTATATATTATAATAATAAATGATCCCCTAGTTGTTTTGTATTTTGAGGTGCTGGGGATGGCACCTAGGTTCTCATGGGTACTAGGCAATTAATTGTTCTACTACTGAGCTACCCCATCAGCTCAGTTAGTAATGATTTCAAATAAGCAAGTATCCTAGATTCTATTTTTAAAATATGTTCTTCCCAGAGCAGAGATTCTGTTTTGCTCACTGCAGCATTCTCAAATGCTTAGAAAAATAAATACTAATGTATACATAAATGAATTAGATCCATTGGCTTTGATCTGTCTTGGCCCACAGACCTTTTCCAAATCTTTGGAATAATCCCTGGTCAGAGGGAAAACAAGAGAGAATTGATCCAGCCAGGACACTTAAGATGCAAGAATTATACATGATTGATGGCTTTTAAGATTCAACTATTTTAGTGCCAGGTGCTGCAATTATTTGCATAATTCCCCACTACCACCATCATTTCCCCCTCACATTTTACAACCATAGTTATGGGGTGTGGTAAGGAGAAACAGACCTTTATATAGGGATATGGCATTGTTCAGAGGTATTACATTTGTCCTCTTGATTTTACAGAACTCCAGGTCAGAGTCTCTGAAGTCTTGATAAGGATAGTTGAATAGAAATATTGTGGGCAGATAGGGCTTAAGCAGAATTTAATCTCACAGCCTGGAGATTTAGGACTTTTACTTCTGGCAGTTAATATTTCTTAGTGGAGAAATTATGTGAGGGAAAATTTTGTTTTTTTCCCAATATTAGGCTGGATAGGAGAAACGAGAAATAGAGACAAATGCAGAAAATAGGTAATAGACAAATAATATTCTAGAAAACAACCATTGTATATCTATTTAAAAAGCAAGTTGTCTTCATGTGTAAAACAAATGAAGTTTCTGTTTTTCTTTATTGAAAGAGTAATCTTAGAGTTCTTCTAAATAACAAAGTTAGGTAAAATAAGTTGTACTTGGCTATAATCAAGGTTTCAAAGGCTCTGTTGGCTATTTGTTTTATAAATAAAAGTAAAGTAAATCTGGAAAATATTTGCCTGGATTTTGGCTGCCAATCTTCAGTTAAATTTGAAATTTAATTCTTTATCAGAATCTTAAACCATGCAATTACTAAACAAATTGGAGCCTTTCACTTAAATCCTCCTTTCATCTTCAGAATACTTTTCTTCTACATGATTGAACTTTGATTTTTTTCAATTTAACTATATTCATTCAATACCTAAGCATATATCATCTGATCAGTATTGAGCTGTGTGGAACACACATGACAGTTTTTCCAAGGGCAAAAATTTAAATTCTTAAAAGACATTCATTCAGTGGAGGAGTTAACATTCAAAGCAATTCTTTTGAGATCCATGATTTCCAATTACTTGGCTCTTCAACTCTTATGATCTTCACTTCCACTGTGTTTTAACATTCATTTGGTAGTTTGTTATTTCCTCAAGTTTTTCACATTAGAAACATGTTCTTAAAGTTCTATATCCTGTTCTCTGATCATAGTCTTCTATGGAGTCTTTCAGCTCTCTTATTCCCACACTTATTATAGTACAGTGCCCTTCTCACAGAGATAGTTTGCAGATTTCTTTATTCCACTGCATCTCCCTTTCCCTGTTGCATGAATATCCATTAGACTTGCAGTTTTGCAGCTGGAATATATTTTTACTGGCACTTTTGCATCTCTTG